ACACACACACACACACACACACACACACAGCAATATATAGACATAAAGGACAATAAACATTGCAAAAGTTCATCCACATGACCAGTCAACCAATCATCTCTTATAAATCTGCTGCACCCGTTTGGCCTGTTTCTATACATCCTTTGTGCCTCGTCCTCTTGAAGTAGGAAATCAGTGCAGTACAGCCACAGAGCACATCCCTGAGTGTGTGTGTGTAAGTCAGATCTGCTCAATCCTGCCTGTGCCGGGTCTGTCTGTGCTCTGTAGATTTGGGCCAGGAGGATTTGGTTGTCCTGGATGTGACCTCAGGTATAGCCTCTGTCAGGGAAGCCGCCCCTGTATGTTCCTGGGCTTTAGTTCGCAGCGACCAATCTTACCGTAATTCCTTGAAATCCTGGGTTTGTGTGTGTAAAAAAAGTACATCTGCTCAGACCATCCCAAAGAGATGCAAATAACGAGTGGTTTACACGATTGCTTGAAATAAAATAATAATAAAACAAGATATCCCAGAGCAATCATGTTTGGAAAGCTTTCCCTCAGAGGCAATAACTCATATCATAGTGGATGGCACAGAAGGGAAGTCAGGCTGTTAAAGCCTCCCCGGGTTTCATTTCCAAGACTAATATCCCAATCCCACTGCAGAAAGCTGCCATTCCAAAGATTAGGATTAATGGGAGTTGGATGAGCATTTCCTGATTATACAGAAAGGAAGAGGGGGAAGGGAGAGAGGAGGACAGGGTTTATTATACATGCCTGCCAGAATTTATTCTCATGCAACTGAAATGACAAGCTGTTACTTTATTGTTCAAGGCAAAACCAATTTTAAATACCACCAGATTCATTCTGATTGATATTTTTTTTGGTAAATAAAATATGAATAGATAAAGTTCATTGATCAGTGAAATTCACTTGTCACAGCAACAGATATGTGAAAAGAGAATATGTGATTGTTTTTAACAGAATAAAAAGAGGCAAGAATAATCAAATTAAAGAAAGTGCAAGAAAATCCATTAATATATATATATATATATATATTTATAGGTATGGTACACAATATAAATGTGAGTATGTGTTATACTTTGTACATATGTATAGGAATAATTTCATGGTAGTAAACTAAAGAGTATCACTATGCATATACATAGGCAGGTATGGAATACAGTTGGTATAAAACTGGCATGTGTACTGATTTTTGTAGGACAGTAAAGGGGCGCGGGCGGTGCCTCTCCCTGGGTTCGAGGTGAGCGCGATGCCGCCATCGGCAGCCGAAAAGTCTGAGGGGAAACACGCAGTCCGGCTTAGTCACACGCAGCAAACTTTGCTCTTAAGTGCCCAAGATGCAGAAGTTCAGGCCAAGTGGATTGACGTCCTCTCCAGAGCTGCACGCGGAGAATCACCCCCAGATTCGTCGACGAGCCTGACGGAACACAGGAAGAGCCAGTAGTGGCCATGTTGGAGCCAAAGGACTCGTGCCCACTCCTTCCCTCCTCCCTCCCTCTCCTGTGTATAGAGCACACATTACTTGAATTCACTTTACCTTGGCACTTTTTGTTTTGTTTAGTTTTTTTTCTTTGGAAAGGACCACTCAATCCTTCCTATGCCACTTCAATCTTACTTTCATCATCACACAGCTACTTCTTCCTCTCTTTCCATCTTTCCGTCTCTCCTGGACAAACAAAGGAATAGAAGGACTATGTTATCGTGCCGCCGACACCACTGTATGCACACGTATGTGTTGTTAGGATATTCTATTTCTCTCAGTGTTTTCAGCAGCCAGAGAGGATCTTTGAAGAAGTCATGTTTTATTTGTAATATAGCTGAATAAGGTTCCTGTATGATTTTTTTTTATTAATAATGAAGTTCATGTACATGGTGTGACTGTGTTGTGAAGCATTAACTCTTCCATTTGTGTGTGTGTGTGTGTGTGTGTGTGTGTGTGTGTGTGTTTGAGTGGGAGCCCATTCCCATGTTTATTAAGTATTGAATGTTAGTGTAAGAAAGCTGCGCCACCTCTGTTTTCTTCAGTCCTGTGTGCGGACACAGTGGCAGTTCAGTGGGTATTGTACAGTCTGTAAACTATAGTGCGATGCAAGGAAACAAAGAAAAGAAAAGACATTTTAACTTAAAAAATAACGTTGATGGATGAAAAGATGTGTAAACTTGTGGCTGGCCACCTGATGCTCCCACTTCCTGCTCCCTTTTTACAGTCTCTCGCCTTATGCTCTCCTGTACTCTACTCTGAGTCCGATCGACCACATTTCCTGCTCTCATCATTGTGACTTGACAGAATGGGATCAATTCTGCGCCTGGTTCAGAAAATACATCAACAAAATAAATCTTTTCCGTGTAGTTCTCTCTTTCTCTCAGCATAGAATCGGATTGTCAGCTTCTCCCCCGTCAGTGATGTGATGGAAACCAAGTACTGTACTGTAAAACTGTTTATTCTGCCTTGCCCCCTGTCCCCTGCTCCTATCAGCACCAGCCTTTAAGCAAAAGTAGCAAAAAAATTTGTCATTGGATCTTTGTGCATGTAAAATCACTCATATTTATGTACCGTGCTTTGAAATCTCGCCCCCCCCTCCCCTTTTTTAATGCTCCAGAATTCATTCTTGTCGTACTGTAAGTGAGCAGAGTCTGCATTGAGTGTTTTTGAACATGGATTGTGCACAGTGGAAAAGCAGTCAAGCATATCATCAATAAACCGATGTTGTGGTTCATTCAGTACCACGCTGTCCGAGCAGATCTTCACATTTTCTTCTTCTTCTGTGTGTCTTCTCCTTAATGAAACACACTCACACACACGCACACTCACACACACACACACACTCTCACACACACACACACACACACACACACACTAGTACACGTGTCAGTGAAATATTGATCCACAGACCCACTCAAACACTGAGAGACAAACTGATGCTGTTCATTGACTCCAGCCGCTGATCTTGTATTGATATCACAGACCAGACAACATATGAAATCATGTCAGCAGCAGATATCTGTTTTAATATGCTGATGGTATTTAAGAGGATTAATGTTGCACATTCTCTGTCCGTGGTTGTGTACGTGTCATCTCGGGTTACGACCACCGCACACTGCAGTTTTATTTCCATTCCTTTTTGTTTCATCTTTGCTTCCAGTTTCTCTTCTGTTTAGATTATTCAAGACGACTCAAATTAGTGTTTGGATGAATTTGATATTCAGTATTTCTGCCCGACTTTCCTGAGACTCCGTCTACTTTAATAGCAGAGTGAATTATTCCCTGGGAAATCAGTGAAAATTAAGAAAAACAAAAGACTGAATCTCACAATATTAAAGAAAGTGGAAAACAATCCTGGATCCAGATCCACACCAAAATCTAATTGACCGTTATCTTTTCACCAAGTTTTGTGTGGATCTGTTCAGTATAGTTTTTATATAATCTTGCCTAAAAACTAACAAACAAACAAGCAAACAGGTGAAAGCATAACTTCCTCTGTGAAGGAAAATATTAAGGGACTTTGCAGGTCATCCAGTTGCAGTGGCTGTGTTCTTTTTTGTGTTTGTGTGTTTGTGAGTGTATTGGTACAGATTCAAAGTGCTGAACGAGATAGATCTGCAGCGACCATGGGAACAAAGGCTCTTATCGACATGAAGTCGAGTACACTGTTCCTTTTCTCAACACGTTCCACACTGCTGCACAGCCAGCTGTTGTCGTGAGTGCAGCACTGAAACTCTGAGTTCTGACTTGTGACAAGCTGCTCAACATGAAAAAAACAATACAAACAGCCCTTTATGATCATCTCATCATTGTTGTTTCAATCTGATGTCAGCAGACAATGAGAACAGGGAGAGACTCCGTTCGTCTGCTTTATAAAATGATTATTTTCATAGAGAGAAACATGTTCAATTCAATGTGAAACTTAATCTACTGTATCTGTGTGTTTGCATGAACACTGTGCAAACATCCCTTCTGGGTACTATGTGTCCTGTGAAACTTCACGTCTGTACAAGTTATGTATTATTACCTCCACCCAGGATGTTATGCTCTTGTCTGTTTATCAGAAGGATTCTGCAAAACCTACTCAACCAATTTCCGTGACATTTTGTGGAGGGGTGGGACGTGACCTAATGAAGAAAAACATTCAGTTCCGGTGTGGATCTGGATATTTTTTCAACTTGTTAAATATTTTGTAGATATCTCAGATTCATGGATCTTCTTACACATATTTATGTCTCCCTCACTTTTTAAAAACTCTGTTAACTGATTCAATTTGAAATTCAGTGTCAAGTCAAATACTGAACAGATGTGGATGTGGATCCAGATCAGGAATTTTACCCAGAAATGTACTTGGATCTTGATAAAATAAAATCAGGCATGTTTCTCCAGATCTAGTGAATTTAAATGTGAGTGCTGAGTGACGTAGTTTCTTTATGTAAACCTCAAGAGTCAGAGCGATATCAAAATAAAGACAGGAAAAGAAAAGAAAAACCTTTTCTGAGAGAGTCGGGGACTTGAAGTATGTGACTGATTTCATCTCGAAGAAGAAGGAAGGTGTGAACTGGGAAAATATGTTGCTGCTGTCTCAGGTCCATTTTTCTCCATCTTGATTTAATCAGCTCCATCTTCCCTCCCTCTTGTTTGTCTCCCCTGTGCACTCATTACGCTTGTTTTGCAGTTATTGTTGGCAGAAACATATTGATATACATTTTCCAAAAAGGAGAGAGGACAGCTATTGATAGGTCGTGTGCACCATAGCTTATTTATTTAGCAAGTCAACGCTATAGAGTGTCAAAATGATGAATTGGAAGGCTGGCATCTCTGTGGAGCTGGGAGCTGTGGTGCAGAGATAGAGCGCAAACTGCTGACTGCCTCCTTCTGTCATACTTTTACATGCTGTACATCCAGAGCGGAGCGCGGCAGGGTGGTACTGAGTCTGCTGAGGAGGATGGAGAGAGAGCGAGCTGAGATAAGCTCTCATCATTTCTCCAGAGTCCTCTCCTATAGAAAACCCAAAGCTCTGTGGTGTTGTTTTGACTTTTTCTTATCTTTGTTTTAGAACATGGGACACGATGTTGAATATCCCCTGTGTGACCACCAGCAGATGCCAGGGATCACAAGACAGCCTGGGGCCCATTAGGGGTCTGTCCTCCTGATCTGGAGCCATTTGCTGCTGCAGTCTGTGATGTTTCTTATATTTTCTCCCGCAGGGCTTGTCTATGCATTATTCTTTGTGCAAACTGATGGTGGATGTTGCACTAAAACCTCAGCAGCTACCAGACTACTGCTTTGCAGCCACTTTGTTCTGCCTTGCATGCCACGTACCGCAGCCACTTCCTCTTTTTGGCTTCATCATTCAGCCTCCTCCCAATTGTCAATTCTATGAAGTATAGATGACACACAGGGTGTTGGCCTAGAGTGACAGGTCTCAGCAGTGGAAGTGAGGGTCTGGTTGGCTGGCAACCAATGTTTGCAGCAGGAAGTTGTGCTTCTTTCCACTTATTTGACAGAGGGTGTGTAGCTTTTACTCCCTTCGGCCTCACACTTCTTCTCTTTGCTTTCAGTTGTGTTTGTTTGCCACTAAGCTCCACCAAGGTCACGGTAGAAGTGAAACTTGTCTAATTGACCTCCATCAGACCCCTAAAGGCTTCCCTTAATGGCTCAATTCATCAAGGGCACCGACCTCTCCGAATGAGCACAAAAGGGAAGGTTGGTCGAACCGAGCTGTTATTGTTGCCAGAAATGTAATGGAGAGCAGTTGTGGGTGAAAAGAAAAAATCCAAGCAGAAAATTTCACATGAAGACAATTTGTTCAGGGTTTCAGGTTGTGGTTGGATCCTGAGCTGCTGCTGCTGCTGCTGCTGCTGGTGGTGGTGGTTCCTCTTCCACAACAGGAGGGGAATGGTTTAATGGGAGAAAGCTGGAGCCTAAGCCTCTTACCAGCTGTGTGTGTGTGTGTGTGTGTGTGTGTGTGTGTGTGTGTGTGTGTGTGTGTGGCCCAGAAACATTTGCATTCTGCATTCCCAAGCCACCAAATACACGCCCCTGCTGACCTACCTCCATGGGAAAACAGGGGAAAACTAATTAAAACCTGCCTTTTACATGCAGCGCCACCCATTTTCTCTTCTCCTCTCCTCTCCTCTCCTCTTCTCCTCCCTTCAGTTGCGAGTGACATAACCTCTGATGGACTGACATAATTGGTACAGACAGACCTGCTCCCCAGACTAATGATTCTGGTGTGGTTCCAACAGCAGGTCACATCAGGCTATTTCACCCGACACTTCCAAACTATGACTCAAGCTCTATTACCTCAGCTGTACTCTGAGATGTGCAGAATAGAATAAAATAGAATAGAATAGCACATGGTGTGAAAAAATTCCTTAAATGGGTCAACTGTGGGTACACTGAATCGTCTTAGAAAGTTTTTAAAATACATTAAAAAGAGAATGTGAAGGATCTTT